TTCTTTTGCTCAAGGCTAGCACTCTACTACTTGAGCCACTGTGCCACTTCCTGGCTTTATTCTGTGTATGTAGTCCTGAGGAATCGAACCCAGGGCTTCACATATGCAGGGCAAGCACTCTACCATTGAGCCACATTCCCAGCCCTGTATTGTTTTCTCTTTTCCTGTCCTCTCAACCCTCTATTGATGAACAGCTTTCAGAGATTCCTTACGCCATCTTCATACATGAGTGCAGTTCTTATTGTAACTTACCCACTATCATTGTTTTTTTTCCTCTCTCCTTCCTCCTACTACCCTCAACAGTTAGAAGTGTGTGTGTGTGTGTGTGTGTGTGTGTGTGTGTGTGTGTGTGTGTGTATCAATACATACATGTCCATAGATGTGTGTCTGGCTTTCACAAATGAGCAAGAAGCATGCAATATTTCCCTTTTTAAATTTGGCTTTTCTTGCTTTCGCATGCCCTCCAAGGCAGTTGTAGCTATGTTTGAGGAAGAACCTAGAGCCCTTTGGGGGACTTATATGATGTTAGTCTTGAAGGCCTGATAGCAAAGAGGTGGTTTGCTCAAATTTAATATCATAGCACATTAGTAATAATGATATTTTGCCATTGGGCATCTAGAAATGAGGAAAGAGCTAGTCTGTTTTTCCTCTTTTTTGGGGGGGAAAGGGGGTGCCAGTACTGGGGCTTGAACTCAGGGCCTGGGTGCTTTCTTTAGCTTTTTTTGCTCAAGGCTGGTGCTCTTAGCCATTTGAATCATAGCCACAGCTCCATATCTGGCATTTTGGTAGTTATTGGAGATAAGGGTCTCATGGACTTTTCCTGCCTATGCTGACTTTGAACTGTGATCCTTAGATCTCAGCCTCCTGAGTCGCTAGGGTTACAGATATGAACTGCCAGTGCCCTGATTTTTATTTTTTTTATTTTTAAAATTTTTTTTGCCAGTTGTGGGGCTTGAACTCTGGGCCTGCGCACTGTCCCTCAGCTCTTCAGCTCAAGGCTAATACCCTACTACTTGAGCCACAGCACCACTTCTGGCTTTTTTCTGCTTATGTAGTGCTGAGGAATTGAACCCAGGACCGCATGCATACAAGGCAAGCACTCTACCACTGAGCCACCTTCCCAGCCTTTCTTTTTTTTTAAGTTAGAGTTTCACTGGTTAGCTTAGGTAGGTTCAGATTCTCAACCCTTTAGCCCTAGACTCCTTATTTTAAATTTAGTTTTTTACAGTTAAAGAAATCAGACATACACACTGATAATGAATGCTAAAGATGTTGGACTTTATCTTTCTTAATCCTTGGAGTTATACTCACCTCTTATGCTTATATTTAGAATCCTAAGGGGATATTCCTTTAACTTTGGTACAATTAGAATTTACTCCATCATCTTTCTTTTTTTTTTTTTGGGTC